CTGGGCTCATGCAACCCGAACTGAGAAGCACTCAGCTATCAGTCAGTTAATCCAGCTGTCCTGAACCTTCAACTTCTCTCATTCATCAATCCTAATTGTTTGTGTCTGATGTCGCTGCTGTCAGTTCAGATCATATGTAGAGAAGCTGTGCCATCATGCAGCCTTCACAAAAGATTTTTCTGTCTATGCAGGCCTGTGTGATGAGAAGAGCGATCGTACTGTAAGTTCGGTGTCATTACCATGGAGACTAATCTAAGCAGTTGCCATTATTAAACTTTTCTCTCTGAGCTTCTCCAGAAATGCATTAGGAGTTCTGTAGGTGGGCTGAGCGGGGACTTGAGATGTGAGAAAGGGGAGCTAAATATAGAGCGGTTACAGATCCAGACGCTGTTGATTAGTGGAGCTGTTTAGACTCTTAAATGGCTGCATTTATGAAACACTCTGGTCGATGTGTTGGCTACTGCGTGCCCTCAACTTCTTACTGAGACAAGCTTGTTCCTGTTTGTTCTCATATCTGCGCACATGAGTGTGTTTTTCTCGGAGATGATGGGCAATTTGCAGAGTTTCATTTCAAACCTAAAATTAGCCGGACAGGAAAAACGCTTCCCTAAAGTCCTTTGTGACAAACCTTTAAAAGCTTACAGAAGTGGAAATCAGTGTGTATAAAACTCCACATTAGTAATTCAGAAGTCGATTAAAGCTTTTTAATTTGCTTTTCTAATCCCCCTGTTTACTCTAGAGGTACTCCAGTTTACTTCCACCCAAATTTTGGATGTAAAAAGGCACCTAAGATAAAATGTGAAAAAATATATATTAATTATTCAGCAATTGGAAGACCAAACCTCACTTAAATAACCCAAATAACATATTTTTTCTCTTGAGATGTCCCAACTCTGTCCCATTCACCTACTATCAGACTGGAAGACTGCTATCTGTGTCTCATTCAATGATATAAAAAGTATAAATCGTATACTCTGCATTTGGAAGTGCAATTAACATAATGGATCATACATTTTAAATTAGTGGCCACATTGTTGAGGTTTTGGCCCAGGATGTATGAGTGCTGGAAGAGGCCAGCCCAGGATATGATTTTATGGATTTATTCTCTGATTATCTCCCAGTAAAAAGGAGAAAAGTAGCAGAACATTTGCATCAAGTCGAAGAGGTGAGGGACCATGGAGACCAGTCACTGGCATTATGTGTACGGTATGGGATTGTTCTGGGTGGATTATTAGAGGTAGATGCCAGTTTTCATTGGTACTATTTATAATGAGTATGGGAACTATTCTGAGGTCCTGTTTGCCTCTGTATGGTCCCCAGTAATAATCTGAAATGAGGTAGCCCAAATTTAAACAACTATGCTTCTCAATTGAGAATTGAGTGGTGATAATACTACATCATATGTCATTTTCAAACTTGCAAGATACATGGGGAAGAGAGAATCCAGAACAAAATAGATGAAACATATTCAAGGATGAATTATTTTATGACATCTGGAGTCTAAAGTTAATAATTGCACTTAGTTCCAAAATTACCATAATACTCTATTTATTCAAAGAAGGCAGTTATAAGGCAGTGCAATACTAAATTGCTACATGATCCTGATAGGTTAAATGTTAAAGGGCCCTATATAGATCAAACAACTCTATCTATAAGATGTGAGGTTTTTAAAGTTTATACCAGAGGACAAATTATATGTTATATAAGCAATGAATAAAGTAAAATTAAGTTGAAATAAAGTTAGATTTTTTATTTTATTTTATTGCATTAATAATATACAGCAATCAGCCATAACATTATGAGCACTGACAGGTGAAGTGAATAACACGGATATTACCAAATATGACAGAAACGTTACCTACTGCAGCTTTAATGAGAACCTATACTCTATGTAAGTTACATACAATCTGAAGAAGACACTATGTCACTGTTCAAGAGAATGTTCTATCATCATCAAGATTTTTGGTATTTTACTGAACTGAAACCTTCAACTCTCAATTCTGTCCTCTGTTTATGACAGGAGTAAATTCAGCTGTCAAGATCATGTGTTGGTTATGTAACAGTCCTGCAGCAGCAAGGGGATTAACTTCCTTGCTCAAGAGCACTCTGAGATTTGAAACTGGCCACAGAACGGACTCTTCATATTTGTCAAATTGGGGGATTCAAGGCAAAAATGAACTGCCCCTACTGATAGCACTCATTTCTCCTATTCTGTGTGCATTGTGTGTGTATAATGTCAGTAGTAACTTTATTAAGGAGTAATTTTTTTAGCAAGATGCACCAGTTCAGTGCAATATACACTGAATATTTTTAACATTGACTCAACTTTTAAAAATGGAGGTAATAATTCACGCTAAATATGTTCAACTTGAACCAACACATTTTAATTTCATCTAACTGAAACTGCATTTTTCTAAGTCAGTGGAAACTATTTTGACAGAGTTGGGTGAACTATTTATTAAAATTGTAGTAGATAATTTCCTCTTTTTAAAAGATGTGATCATATACAGTCTCTGTATATATACAGTGTGCAGCCCTGGCTTGCTCATCAAGAGCAAACTGAGCTTCAGTGTCCTGACTAAAGACAACAGTACGAGCTGGAGCACCCTGGTGGTGTAGAGGTTGACATCCTCACTTCGTGTCCGCCTGGGGGTCCTTTGTTGCATGTCATACCCCATCTTTCGTTTCCCATCATCTCTCTACTGTCTCCTATCAGTAAAGTCATAAAATGCCCAAAAGTACTTAAAAGGACAACAGAATGAGTCAGTGTTTTGCCTCTATCTCTTGAATCTGACTCAGTCTGCTATATGAATTCTCATTGGGGAACAAGTCACGAACACACATCTCACTAACCACATTTAATCTTAACTGTACAACAATAATAGAACTGTGGAAACACGGTAATGTAAATTCCAATAACCAACTATACATTTCAGGTTGACTCCAATATGAATCTCAAAAAATAAGTAACCAATGAGCCCGGACTACATTTCAAAAATGGTGTAATTCGATTCTAGTTATGTCGTCAAGGATCGCTTGATTACATTTGTGATTACACATTTAAAATATGGCAATTTCAAAATTCTGAAACTTTTTTCATTATAACATACATACATTACAACATTAAAATTATATAATGCTTGTTAACTCAGGGAAAGTGCATTTTATTTGCATTGCAAACGTTTTGAGATGTTTAAACTCAAATTGTAAATTTGTGGCTGCATCCATTTCTTTTGCATACAGTGCAATGTTTTATTATAGTATAATTAAAACGATTCCAGTTAGATACTTTTTTTTTGTACTCCGACTGATACTAATTACAAAAATTGTCATGTAATTTGTATTCAACACTGAATATAATCCAAATAAGAAATAACACTCCAATAAAACATATTAGATTATAATAATGATTAATAAACCAACCAATCATTTTAGGCTGTTGGAAATACAAGAGTGGCATTGTCAGACCTTTTTCTGTCTCAAGTGAAAAAGTAAAGAAATAGGTTTTGGGGCCTGAGAATCAGATCATAATCAGGTGTTACCTTAAGGCCCCCGTCACTTCAGTTTCTGTTGTGCTTCACTGTATTAGAAAATAATAAAATCAGCCCAATATACTTGTTACACTGTGAACCTGGTGCCTTTGGGGCCCTTGGCCAGGGTCTGGGAGCAGCTGCCTGCTCAGCCCAGGTGGTAATCCAGCCTTGTTTCTTCAGGCTGGACTGTCTGTTAAAATCTGCGTGTATTCCTCCCTGTAGCAGGAGAAGTGTCTCTATGATCCCTCAAACTGTGTGTGAGCAGTAACTTGGACTGTATCGCGCGCAGCAGTGCATCAGTCTGTCCGCCTTCAGCACCTCGGACAGCGCAGCAGCCTGCGCGGCTCATCCCGGATTGGAGCGCAGATTTCCCACTGAAAGCAATGATGTGACCATCTGAGTGAACCCTCTCTGTCCATACAATGAGTAGGAGTGGTCACTGTGGGAGGGGTCGCGAGGTGTGAGGGGGAGGGGGAGGGGGGGTGCAGTCAGTTGCGCCCCAGCAGAGAAAGATTCCAAGAGTAAGATTTGGATGATTCGTGACACTTGGGAACAGAGAAAAACACAGAGACAGGAGGAGCAACGCCCACCGATTAGAGTCTGGAGTGTGTGGAGACATAAAATGTGGAGCCTTCAAAATACGAACAGTTCGTGACACGCATGGTTAAACTCAGAGGCCCCGCACGACGAGAGAAAACTCATGTATATATTTTATCTTTCCTTTATCCAAAAGCAGCTCTGACTGATCAGTGCGGGAGAGGAGGTTTGGATGTGCGCAACGGAGCATGAGTGCCACTGCGGGCACGGAGCGCGCTGTAGCCTTTTATGAATGTTGTTTGTTTCTCTAAAGTATCTTCTTTCTCATGCGCTCCATCCTACAGTCTGAGAAAAATGTATACGTTTGGGGAAACACTGGCAATGGAACCTGTTGTCGGCGATGATTTGTTGGAATATTCTTTTATTCCTGTAACAAGTGGTGAGTTGATCCTGGAGCAAAGCAGCTGAAAAGGGGAAAAAAAGGCTGAGATGTTTCATGTGGTGATCTGCGCACTGTGAGAGCAACATTTACCAACTTGATGTCCCTCTGCGATACTCTGTGACCCTCCCGTCTTATCGACGACTCAGCACATTTCTGATTAGGATGTCCTCTGTTTGCGAGGATGATTTAAGGATTTCACAAAGATGGGTTTTTTGTATGTGGGGAATGGCTGCTAAAAATATCCCACCTGCTGATGAGGTTACAATGAACAGGTTGGTGTTCAGCTGAAACTTAGAGACATGCGGAAAGATGCTCAGTTATAGGACATTTTAAATCTTTATCGCAGACAAAGTGAGAGGGGAGCATCAAAGAACAGAAAGAAAGGATCCGTCAGCGATCATTTATTTGGCTGGAAGAATTAATTTACACCAGTACAGTTCACTTGAGGAGAACAGAGACCAACAGGCGATCTTGAAAGCAGCTTGTTGATGGCACTGCGCACCGGGAGGACTTGGTTTGGGCAGGTCTTGCGCAGGGTCTTTCGGCTGCAGGGCTCCTGGTCCAGGCGATCGAGCAGTCTCTTGTGTCTCTCCGCAAACCAGGAGCAGGATCTGGGCTTCTGTCACCGGTATCACAACAAGGCGGGGGGGTTCAACCGCTGCTCCGACTCCGGCGGCCACCGTCACCGGTGCGCACCTTTCTGCGCCTCCGCCTCCAGGCGCTGTCCACACGGCTTCCCCCACGCTTGCTGCGCCTTCCCGGGGAATCCGAGGGGACATGAGCCCCTCGGTCGCCGGTTCCTGTTGGCCATGAAGCGGCAAAACGTGCGGACCTTGTCCCTGATCATTTGCACGTTCACATACCTGCTCGTCGGGGCCGCTGTCTTTGACGCCCTGGAGTCCGACTTCGAGATGCGGGAGAAGGAGCAGCTGGAAGCCGAGGAGAAGCGTCTCCAGGGGAAATATAACATCAGCGAGGATGATTACCGCAAACTGGAAACCATCATCATGGAGGCAGAGCCCCACAGAGCCGGGGTGCAGTGGAAATTCGCAGGGTCATTTTACTTTGCCATCACGGTTATAACCACCATAGGTAAGTCCCAGTCTCTAAAACCAGTATAATCATTACAGGTGCGTCTCGGTGTACTATCACTGTTGCGCAACAGGACTCGAGTTATTATCAGGACAATTACATTTTCAAGGCAATAAAGCGGGCTGCAAGCAGCAATTAAGCGGAAGCACATGTTCGTATTCAGAGCAGCCACAAACTACCCGATCCCAAACATTTACATTGTGCCGCAAGTCTTAACATAAAGTTTTTAAGCAACATGTTGCAGTTCTCACTCGCTGGTCCAAAGGGGGGCTGAACTGCGAGGATGGAGCTGTGTGTCACCGCGGTCAAACAACAGGAGGACGTTTGTATTTACACTTAGTAAAAAAAAAAAAAAATAATCACCTAAATGCGAAATAACAGTGAGGAATGACGTAACGCACCCCGTTCAAACACTGATCAGGTCCTCCGGTGCAGCTGGAGTACGTTATGGTTCAACTTTGACGGTGCGTCAGCACGGTGCAGCTCAAAGTCTGACAGAGACGAGGAGTTCAGGGTCTTAGACACGGAGATGTTTATTTTAAAGAGCTTGCATAGGGAAAACGCGGGGCTGTGTTGGAGGAGGACGGGGCTGATGGAGAGGCAGCAGGACTCAGTGCTGTGGTGCTGAGAGGACAGCTCCTCTGAGTGCGGCTGCCGCAGGCAGGACGACAGTTAAGCGACTGAAACCCACTTCTACTGCTCTGGGTCCACCTTTTACATTTGATACACCGTTTTAATGTTTGTTCTATAGATTGCACATTTTAGTGGCAACAAACAAGTCCTTCACAACCAGTGACTGTAAATGTAAAAAAACCTAAAAGAAATTAAATCTATAGAGTTTTCATGAATGCATTTGTTTGATAAGCCCCCCCCCCCCCCCAAGGAAACATCAGTTTGACGTTACTTATGATGATGCATTTGCGTCATAAAGATTTATTTCAAGCTGTGCAGAAGCTCCACTAAGTTTCTCTTTGTTTACGCCCCACACACAAACCACATTCTCTGTGCATTTTAATCACCACAACACCGAATGACGCTGAAGTGAATTAAGTTGCAGTTAATTGGATTAGTTCAAATGTGCGTGGCACCAAAAACAAGTTAGAATCCAACCTTTCAATCAGCAATCAGGAGTTTGTGTTACGTGGTCGCAACATTTGAAATGAACTTGCCTTTACGCAGAGGTGACAGAGACGCGCTCTGTCCATTATGGGAGTCAGATGCTGTTATTCAAGATGAGGACTTTTAGCAGGGGGGGGCTAATGCACCAGGCCTGTCCTCCAGTTTGCCAGGCAACACTTAAAAGGGACGACAACACAGAGCAGCGAAGGTGGATCCACTGTTGTTTCTAGGCTACAGCGACGAGAGCCATTGTAATATTCATGTTCTGTGAAGTGGTTACATTCACTGCAGCCGACTGTGTCCCCTCTGTAGGAAACAGGCCGCTATTATGCATGATCATACTCTCAACAGTAGTAAGAACAGTTCAGAGGACAGCCAGACTTTTCCTGCAAAATGTACAGGGAGGGCTCCTATTAGACCGCCTGTATTCATGCATACACTGGTGAATGAGCATACAGCTGTTTGGGCAGGAATTATTTCATAACAGTGCTTGTAGCAGACTGCAATAAAGAGAGGGAGGAGAAGTGTTTTTTGTCCTGCTGATTGCAAGAAAGAAAAATCCAAATTACCCTCCTCACACAACCTCACCTCAGAAGCACTGATGACAAGGTGACGAGAACTCGAGGTCATTTTATAGTATGTGGGACTGTGCCATGACGATGTGAGCATATTGTGTTATAATTATGCACAATCTGCTGTCTAAATGAACACATTCAGGAACATTATAACAAAAAACTCAGACTTGTGAATCCTGTGAACCAGCAGCAGTGGTTAGATTATTTTATATACCATTTTGCATTAATTTGAAATATTGTCATATGGATCTAAATCTTATCTTAAAGAATGGTGATATTCCATACTTTACTTAATGTCACCAAAACCCATGAAAAGACCATAAACTAACAATGAACTCATCCTAACAAATGCTGTCTGCATATCCTAAGCCTGATATATCTTATTTTTCTACAGGGTTGGGAGGGTTACTTTGAAAATCTAATCTGGTACAATTAGTAATTACCTGTTAAAAATGTAGTTTGCAACCTAAACTAAGTATCGCAATATTAAAGTAACGTAACTTGATAACTTTCCATTACTTCTGGATTACCTCAACCCCAAATATGCAAATAAAAACAAGAGAAAAGAAATATTAATAAGATGTCTTTTACAGATTCAATAAGACAACAGAACAATGTAACCTTAGAAAGGTTTTTTAGCCTCAGAAATGTGTCCTTTGCGCAATGTATTTTTACAGATACCCTTAGTAGCCTGTAGAGCATTTTCACAGCTGGAAGGCAGAACTTGCACTGTACTGTGATATTGTTCCCTTTCTGCTGGAAAGACAGAATTTAGGTAGATTTTCACTCAGTGAAAGCCTTTTTTCCACTAGAGGCCATAGTGAATTCAATTGAATGAATTGATAAGATTAGCTATGAGTTTCACTCGAGACCAGAGTGGTGTGTGAGCCTTGTTATGTGTGTGCACTGCGCATGTGCATGGTCCTATATCATTCTGCATTTTAAATGCATTTTAAAATTGTAATCCTGCTAATAATGCCAATTTCTACTAAATGCAAATGTAATCTGATTACATATTTTTTTCTGTAACTGTATTGGATTACAGTTACCTTTTGTTGTATCTTGATCACATTACTGCGTTACAAGTAATCCATTACTCCCCAAGCCTGTTCCTCTGTGCCACAGAGCTCAACACATTAATGAGCCACACTGTTGCACCAGGGGTTACTTCGCTACAATAAACATTGTAGTTTGTTGTGACTCAATCCTACTTACACTCGGCTGCTGTAAATAACTATATTGCATCAAATGTCTATCAATCCGCAGCTGGAAATAGCCCCTAACAAATGCAACATTTCGCCCAGTTTGAGTCACACTTGCTAAAAACTACAGTGCCCAGCTGCCATTTAGGACATTTTTAGTCTATTTTGAAAAAGAAACGATGCATCTGTGACCCATTTTTTTTTTTATAGAGTTACGTCCTCAGTAGGAACAAATGGGCTTGGGGCCAATGACAGGCTGGGGAAGGTATTTGTTGACAATAAAAAAAAAAGTTGAATATTCAATGTTAAATGTTCTACACTGCACACTGGAGCACAGACCGACAGTATGTCTGATCTTTAGTTTACTGAAAGACAAGGGGTAACTTTCTATAAGGGATTTTTATACAAATAAAGAGGAGGTCATAGTTTTGCTTGTGCGATATGTTCAGTGATATCACTGTAGTTTTGGGTCAGATGGAATTTTCTTGATACCTCAGACCATGAAGTAAAGACAATCACAGGAAAGTGTCTTGATGTCACTTTGATATCTTTTTTTATGATTTGCCCAACTCTCCAGACCTCATAAGGCAGACCCATTTCATCTGACACTCCAAGTAGGTTAAATCCAAAGCTAAGAATTATTTTCAGGCAGTATTTGACCCAACCATCCATGTCTTTAGGCAGTGGAGCTTTGATTTGATGAGTTCGCTGAGTGATTGGAAGGCCGTACTCGAATTTACCGCTCAGCTGACTGTATGGGATTTATCACCTCACACCCTTACCTGTTAATGCCTTAGAAGGAAATTTCCCTCTTTAGAAATAAAGATACTAGATTTGTTATGCACTGTATCACTAGATTTTCAAATAATTATTTGAACCACAGAAAGTGAAAGAATTCAAAGTAGCTTTGTGAAAAACTGAAACTCTGCTGCAAAGATAAGGAAACAATTTGGTCTGTGTCAACTATGAGCTGTTTGTGGAAACTAATTAAATTTAGTGTCATCATATGGGACAGTAGAAATGGTGCAAAGATGTCTATTAAGATATGTGTTGCCACACGCTCGCGCACTCATGCCGGGTATGCACATTTACAGCAGAACAAATCACACCAAAGACAGAATAACCCAGGAGAAATGTAACAATCCAGCTCACCACAGTGCTGTAAGAGCCAGCACGTCTGCACACACTGAGCCGCACACTGAGCCGCACACTGAGCCATACACACTGAGCATCTGCTCACTGTGAACCTGTAGAGCAGGCCGTTATTTTCAAGATTATTCTGTCCAATTATATAACAGCATTCTCCATCTTAATAATTAACTGGACATCCCGATTTATTAGCAGGATAAGATAAATACAGTGGAAGCAGGGAAACATAACAAATGTTTCTATATGGTTTGATAAATATGAAAAAGTCACAGCAATGCATTTAACGGCACTCTCCACAACCATCATTAATAAAAACAAACACCCATCCCATCTGCACATGCAGTGTTATATACATGCATATTTGTTGGTTTTACAGCAACCTCATCTGCTCGCTCTCTCTCTCTCTCTCTCTATATATATATATATATATATATTTTTTTTCACAATATAAACATGATGTCTTAGTAAAACAAGAAAGTAGCATGTGATAAAAAAATGCAAGGGGAAGTAAAGAATATTCTGTAGAAGAATAAGGAGAAACCACAGGAAGATGGGATTTAAAGGCTGATCTCAGTTCTGCTGGACAGATCTCTTCAGGGACGTTTCAAGAGCTGCAATAGGAGTGCTGGTTATATTGGTGGCAACATCAGTAGTAAATGTCCTTGGAGAAGTTGTAGTGGAAGTAATGGCAGTAGTAGTTTACAGTATTTGTTACCTTAATAGTAATATTAGCAGTATAGCATTAGCAGAAGGTGTAGCTGTGTAACTAACAGTGGCAGACGAGGCAGTATTAGCAGTGGTAGTAGTGGGAGCAGCAGCAGGATCAGTACAGGCTGTGGCAGCAGTAGTAATTGTACTTTAAGCACCAGTAATAGCAGTAGTAATATTAATAGTAGTATTATCAGTTTTAGTAGTACCAGCAGCTGTAGTAGAAATAGTAGTAATATTACACTGT